CTGAGAGGGACTTGGGGGTACTGATAGACGAAAGGCTGGACATGAGCCGGCAATGTGTGCTGGCAGCCCAGAGGGCCAACCGTGTCCTGGTCTGCATCAAGAGAAGCGTGGTCAGCAGGTCGAGAGAGGTGATTCTGCCCCTCTACTCTGCTCTGGTGAGACCTCACCTGGAGTACTGCGTTCAGCTCTGGAGCCCTCAGCACAAGAAGGACATGGAACTGTTGGAGTGGGTCCAAAGGAGGGCTACAAAAATGATCCGAGGGCTGGAGCACCTCTCCTATGAGGACAGGCTGAGAGAGTTGGGCTTGTTCAGCCTGGAGAAGAGAAGGCTGCGGGGAGACCTGATTGCAGCATTTCAGTACTTAAAGGGAGCCTATAGGAAAGATGGGGACAATCTTTTTAGTAGAGGCAACAGTGACAGGACGAGGGGTAATGGTTTTAAACTAAAACAGGGTAGGTTTGGGCTAGATTTAAGGAAGAAATTCTTTACAATGAGGGTTGTGAAACACTGGAACGGGTTGCCCAGAGAGGTAGTGGAGGCCCCATCCCTGGAAACATTCAAGACCAGGTTGGACACGGCTCTGAGCAACCTGATCTATTTAGTGGTGTCCCTGCTCGCTGTGGGGGGGTTGGACTAGATGACCTCTAGGGGTCCCTTCCAACCCAAAACTTTCTATGATTCTATGATATCGTGAGTCTACATAATGTCAGGTCTGCGAACCAAGCATGCCCATGCTTGCCAAATTTTGTACAATCATGGCTGTACCTGTACTGTGTAACGGCATTGAGAGGTCTTGCAGCGGGTTTCCACAGACGTGTAGAGTACTTGTTTTGTTTCAGTTTTGCAGCTCTGTTTCAGGATCACGTATTGAAATGCCTTACTGTTACTGAGCTGAGGAAATGGTGAGTTAACAGTAGGGTTCACACGCGTTCTCTCATGTCTCTGCACTTCATTTGATTTCTGAACTGCCTGTGAAATGCTGTAGACATTTGAGAATGCTGTTTTGTGTGACCATGCCCAAACGTTTACACAAATGTATGGCTCTAAGCTACACTTCCATAACAGACTGAAAAGTGAGATTCCCACAAAAACCAGTGGAGAAGGAAGCCTGAACAGTGATGAGACAATGACCATTTCACTGGTCTGTGCCAGCTAGATCTTTTTTATATTTACGTGACCACTATGAAATGCTGTCTTCTTAGCATAAGCAAAGATCATAGACTGTTCAAAAGTGTCCTCACAAATATCATTAGCGACAGCGTATCTCTTCTAGTGAGTGGACTCTTTTTGGTGGTGGTGGTGGTTGGTTTTTCCCCTTAAAAGCTGGTCTCCATTATTGATTACAGAAAAACAAATGTAATCTGGTTCTAATTCTGATTGGTGAGCGTCTGCAAATTGAGCCCATTTCATCTCTCATTTTCGCAGTCAGGGATTTCCATTCTCTGGTACCACATCCATGCAACGCACTGGAAGTCAGTGATCTCGTGGTCTAATGTGCTTTCAGGTGGGCATCATGGCGTGCTAAAGGAGGGCTGAGTAGCACATAGTATGAAATCAGTGATTTGTGAAGGAGCAAAGATCAGATTCAGCCATGAATTTATCATGGGTGGAGAGGATTTGCAAAGTGATAACGAATGGGGAGGTGTTGTACTGAATTCCTGTAAGAGAGATTTGAAGGACAACCTGTCCCACTGAGGCAGACACGCGGGGTCTGCAGCCCTGGCCATCCTGATCCCTACGGCATGTCATTCAAGTTTCTTTTTTTGAAGCTTGAAGAGCTGCTTCTTTCTCTTCTCTGGTGGATGCTTAGAGGGAAGGAATAAAAAGAAGTTTCTTGTCTGAAGAATT